CCCATATAGCAAGGAAAGACGACCAGACGCTGCTACACTTAGTAAGCTATCAGAAGAGTGTTTACCAACGACAAACTCGTTGGGTTTAAACTTCTGGCTGGCCACATCTTAGGGTCGTCACTGCCCCACTAGGGGGGGGGGTAAATAAATCCCCAAAATAAATAGCTCTAAGTTTTCGACGTTGGATGCTGACCACATGTTTTAGTGGACTCATCTAGCTGAAGGCGCTCAGTCATGCATCCGCACCAGATCACGTGTGGTAACGCCGTGCTCAACATCAACCGCGATCGCTAGCCAGATTAGATCAGAGAATTCCGATATATTGGTCATCTCCAAATATACTCTTCCGATCTCATCGACTCTGTCTTTTGATTTCTCTGGGTGGAAACGAAATATATTAGAGGGTGTTACTGGTAAAAGCGTTATCAAACACTGAATACCTGTGACATCATCAGTGAAATTCCTCTTTCATTGTAGTTATTGGCCATGATTTGAAACTGAGTGAGCACAGAGCTCGTTCAATTGAATATAATATCTGAATATTTGTTGTTATTAAGTATTAACCTGGTTAATACTAGGATCAGAGTCTATGAGTATATAATACATTTTAGATGTATTTGAGACTTAAGTCCGCAATAGGAATATTAAGAACTGGTAGTTGTCCATCGAAAACAAATTTTTTCTTATTGTTAACGGTAAAATGTACTCGATGTACAAGATAGGATGATAATAACAGTACAATACACCCTACAATAGAACAAGTCAAAGAATACATAAACCATGTGAAAAACGTTACCATTTTCAAATTTTGCACGAACATTCTTTATCTTGGATACTTACAAGATCACGCAGAGGGATTCGGCAAACGTTTATGCACACAGCATTCAACAAACACATATGGGAAGGAAATACTTGTTCTCAATACAAATAAATGACGAAAATTTTGCCAAAAAATCCTCGTTAGAAATATACTACAAAACTGAATTATTTTAGTTGATTGATATGCTCTTCTAAAATTGGTGTCAACGTGAGAATGAGAACTCCAGAGCACTATGAGTAGATAAACGTTACGGTTCGACTGAAGTAAAAAATGACCTAAAATATGCACAGCACTATCAATATCACATGACCTATTTCGCAACCGACAAAACTGACAGAAGTCAAAGTGAGGACTCGGACAATGAATTTGGTAATATGTAATGACGTTACGAGTTATGTATGCCTTACAACTGATGAATATAAAATAAAGAGATTGAATAGCAATATTGTTACGCATAAAGTGTCCGTAGGACCAATCAAATGTCGCTGAGCCCTTGCGAAATCATCTGGCGGTTGAGTCCATGTATGTCGAACGGTTCGCCGATCCCCGTCAGGGTCAAGGACAAGTAACACTCACCGATCGATTGCACGCTATGAACTAACTCATACGGTGGTGGTCTCAACTTCTTCCTTGTACCTACTTTTGCTAACACATTTCTGTAACAACGTCTTTTGTGTTATACGGGTTTCAAAGCATCCATATTACCTGTTATATCCGAGCGAAGATTAAACCACGAGTACCTTCTGAGACATTAATTGACTAATAATATCTGTATATTCTTATGGTGTAACTATTCAACAATTAGATTGTGTATATTTATATTTCTCTTATTATAAGCTTCATTTTCACCTGTAATTTTTTATTATACGATTTACTGTTACTAAGCTGTGTTCAGTTTAGTGACTACTGTCTCCCACGTTCATAGCCACTTTTTGGCTTTATTGTGTACAAACGTTATTTTCTATTTTATGGCGCGTTGCAGTCTAATTGCTTGATATATTGTAGATCACCAACGTAGATGATCTATGTCGAAATGATTGGAGACCTACTCGAATTAGACGGGAATGGTGTGAGAAACTAACTAACGTCGAAGTCACACCTCGGGCGAGAACTTCTTGCAATCTACCTAACCATTAAACACTTCCGACACATGTTAGAAGGCAGGGGATTTATAGTCTTTACGGATAACAAACCACTAACGAATGCACTAAGAGCGAGAGCTGATAAATACTCACCTCGAGAAGTCCGACACCTTGACTATATATCACAGTTCACAAGCGATATCCGACATGTCAAAGGTCAGGACAATCAGGCGGCAGATGCTACAGCAGTCCACAGTAAGCTTCGAGACGTTGCGAAACGAACAAGAGCAGGGTCTAGAATTACAAAACCTGCTTAAAACAAACAATTCAAGTCTTAATTTAAAACAGTTCCCATCACCTGTCGATGGTATTCTAATCTACCGTGACACGACCGAGGCAATGCCGCGACCTTTCGTTCCCAAAAGTATGCGAAAGTTGATGTATAATAACTTTCATTCTTTGTCTCATCCTGGCTCAAAATCTTCAACAAAACTAATCAATGCCAGATATATATGGCCGAATTTACAGAAGGATGTACACAAGTGGGTTAGAGAGTGTTCAGCATGCCAACAATCAAATGTTAATCGTCACACAAATTCACCCATAGGTGTTTTCTCGCAGCCAGATGCACGTTTTGCCCATGTGAATATCGACTTGGTAGGCCCTTTACCTCGTTCAAACGGTTTTAATTATCTGTTTACATGCATAGATCTATTTACCAGATTCCCTATAGCCAGCTCCAATAGGATACGCCGCACTGCATATTATCACGGCTATGCTAACGTTAAACCAATTATTATTAGTGGTCCATACAAAATCCTGGAACTTAACACTAGCGTTATAAAAAAGACATGTTGTGTCAATAACTTATATATATCGTTGGTTTAAGTATAATGTAAAATGGAAATTTACCAAACTTGTAGATTTCTTTCTATAGCATCATTATTAATATAAACAATGAACTTGTACTGTTCCAATATGGCACTTTGACACATCAATCTGTCCTCTTGTCATTTTTCTCTCATATCTCAGCGAATTACGGGCAACAAACATCGTATTGAAGGTGGGTAGCCATTAAACCACATCAGGTCACGAGGAAATGACTTCAATATTTCCTTACACCGATTAGTCATTCATAATACTAATGAGTAATAGAACTTACACACTTCTAAGGTGCAGACCAATTCGTTGCTTGGATGAATTGATGAAATATTGCTTCAATATATCATGAATACCTAAATCAAACCACAAAAGAGTATTTGACACAACTGTACTTGATCCTCACACTCTACACAATTTTTTTCCCTCCTTAACCGTATATTCTTTCCCATTTTGTGGAGTACTCTTATGTACCCTTTTGTAATCAAGCAGAGCGTAATTAGGAATGCACAAGTTCTGCATTCACTGATCACCACTTGTTCAGATCGACCACTAGGATGTAGCAGTTGAGTAAGTACATGATGACTTCAACCAAACAAAGCTTACAAAAACACAGTTCAAGTTTGCGAACTTCGGTATACTCGAGTTGAAACTAAAATGCAACCTTGAATGTGTACAAAGACACTCTCTTTTAAGAGTCATTTAATGTCATCTATATACAAATAATAAATAAAATGTTCTCATCTCTATCTGTTAATCGTTACAAAGAAGATGTCTTCTTGTTATTTTTTGTGTAATTTTGTAAGATGTATAAGCTCATAATCTGTTGTACAACCTCAGTTTGAGTGTAGCTCTTTTATGGTGTTTATATGCTGTAAAAACATCTTGAAAGTAGCCTAGCAGCCAAGGTCAGGGAAGGTAGCCAAGCTCATTTAACACGTCACACTGGCAGAAGTAAGATGTCGGAACTGAGTAGAGCAGAGAAAATAGCGGCTGCTAAGAAAAAGGTGTGTCCACTGACATATGACCATACTATTGCAGAATACTTTTATTTTGTTGGTTGGTTTTGACATTTTGATTTCTCTACGCAAATATTTAATTGGAGTACGTGTTCGGTCTAAGAAAAACTCGTGAGATCATCTGTTCAAATTTAAGTAGCAGTTTTTCTGTGGTATGTGGGGGTCCAGGCACTTCCGATACTAGGTATTTGTGTTTATTGTTCGGGTATAGATCGCTAATGTGTTTGTAACCAAGTCATCGAAGGAATATCAAAAAGTGTATAGTGTCATCATAAATCCGCTAAAATACTTATCCTGTGGTTTTTTCGTGATCATCTGTGTCAGTCAACATTACATTGTAATAAGGTGGTGGCTGAAATCAGATAATGCATAAAGTTACCGGTTTTGGAGAGGACGGTTTGTTCTATCTGTCATTTTCCAATTGTTAGGTATTTGCGGCCCTGTTTATCGGTTTATCAGCTCAATATAATAATTTGCTTTTAAGATCGTTATATACTCAGTTATTTTTCTTTACGTGAGATACGTCGGTCTATGGTCAAACACTAACAACTTTACACATTTCCCAATTACGAAGGACGTTCTACAATATGATCCACCGTTATACAGTGCACTTGACGTTCTATGTGGTAGTTTCAAAAACCTGGTGCCAGAAGTTAGGTCTTTAACTCTCATCTTTCGACACGGCTGTTCAAAACGTCGGAAAAAATTGCAGTTGTGTCACTAAGCCTTACTATCATTTAAATGGAATTAAACTAGCTTTGTAATTCGTTGTTTTTAGTGGTCTCATGTCGTACATAGCGGAAACTCACGTTTCTCTGAACAGTGCTTTCTATTTATAGTACTAATAAAGCCATATTGCGTTTTGTTTTCTTTCTTAAAATAAAAGTGGTTTAGACACAGACTTTTCTCACTCTAATATATGACATTGTATTAAATTTCAACGTTAACGTGGGCGGAAAGCATAAACTCTGCTAATTGAACGTGACGGGTATTTTCGGTTTAGTAGTTTTTAATTCTGAACCTCGAACATTTATAATTTCAACTTGACATTATCTTCTCACTTTTACGTGGTAGATGAACTACACATATACTAATATCATGAAATGATTTTTCGCCATACATCACATTCTTTTCTATACATCCTTTTAATAGCTAAGAGAATTCCAAGCTGCCAAGGCTAACAAACAGTCAAATGAATCATATGTCAACGAAGCTCATGGTTTCAACGTTTCGGGGACTGGTGGCTATCGAGTAAGTAATGGGAAAGGTTTTAATTTAGACCGTGATTTGTTTCTAAAGATCAGTTACTGAAAAGCTTTAGAGTTGAGATGCATATCTTCTATAGCTCACTGAGAAATAGTTATCTTCGGCTTCAATGTATTTCATCATCCTGTGTAAATGTAAACGCATCAATTCACTTGTATAGTTGACCTTTTCATGTCTAATCCTCATCTACAAATGTGTAGCTACACTTGTTATCATCCGTAGACGAATGGATAAATTTGTTTCACGGTAAGTATATTTTTCCATGATCAGCTGTATGTCTTAGTTGATATTATTTCTATTTCATTCTCTCACTCATCTTATAAATTAATTTCCTCACTTAAGTGTGGTAGCATGGATCATCATCATCTCAAACATCTAACTCATTATCATCATCAACATCTAAACCATCATCATCAACATCTAAATCATCATCATCACCATCTAAACCAACATCATCTAAATCATCATCACCACCTAAATCATCGTAATCATCACCATCTAAATCATAATCACCATCATCATCATCATCACCACCTAAATCAACATCATCATCATCATCACCACCTAAATCATCATCATCATCTATATCATCTTCTAAATCATCATCTAATCCATTACCATCATCATCTAAATCATCATCATCATCTATATCATCATTATCGTCTTCTAAATCATCATCATCATCTTCTTAATCAACATCATCATCTAAATCATCATCAACATCTTTTAAATCATCATCATCACCATCTAAATCCTCTTCATCATCATCCTCATGTCTTTCTTCAGAAATACACAATGATTTGATTTCGTTTGTACAGATCTTTTCGCTTTAATATAATAATAATAAATAATAATTATCAATTTTTAATTGTTTCTCACGTGTCTTGTGGCTCCGTTTAAGAACGGGTCTCTACTTGTAAAACTTGAACATTTTGTAGATATTATTTACGGGTTGCGAATTATAAATAAATCATAGAACAGAAATTATTCGTTTTGTTGATTTAAATATGTCAGATAAAAAGAAATAGGAAGATCAATTGGCTATTGAATGGAGATAGATGTATCCAGTTGTATTAAGGATCTAGACAATTTATACAAATATCCGTTGATATTTGAACGAATGGTTTGCCAGAAATTAGAGGTAGTGTTAATAGTGGTAATATATAAGAGAACGAGTGCGTATAATGACATAGTACGGAAAGAAAGAGTTTGTTCGTAGAAAGAAAGATACTTACCCGGTGATCCCAGCAGATGTGAGCAATATTTCTAAGGCATCTGTGGTCAAATACTAGTAGCTTAACGGTTATTTGTATATAGTTTATATCAGAGAACATGAAATAGTTTATATGGTTGAGTATTGACAGATTAGTTATATGAATTTTAAAGAAAAAAACAGAATGTCATGGGAACAGGTTTATATTGAGGAATATGAACTACAATGAAAATAGACTGTTTGGATAAATGGAGGTCAGATAATAATGAAACACGGGGAAAAAGTTAATATAACTGAAAGCATGCGTAGTAAAAACTGAGGTAACCGGATCAAAGTAATATCGACAACCGTACAGTATCTTATCGAATGAATAAATTTAGTTTCAGCAAAGTATAACAACATTTGAAGTCATTTTCTCACAGTTTCTCTTGAAATGATACCATTACATCCAAAATGATCAGCGACTGGACAGCTTAGAAAACCCGTTTGTTTAGCCTATTCGTATCATATATCTTTTTAAGCAGTTAGTGCATGTTGTGAAGCCTACTGTTACACCGTTTGATGCTGACACACTTTTGTATATGATCTCAACTACTTAGGAGGAAGGACGGAAGGTAGGAAACTAAGTTTATTTGAGTAAATATGTATGTGGCGAGACTCTAATTCACAGACGAGCCAATCAGATGCGTGTTAGAGATTTCAAGGTTACGGCGCAAACTTTAGTGCTTTGTGCTAACGTACGGTCGGTTCACAGGGTATTTTGTACAAAACATGATAATTCAGCGGCTATAACAAATAAAACGCCGGGACTATAATTTGTGGACGAATCAATCAGGTATAAGATAATAGATCTAGGATTTTAACGCGAAAGCCTTTCTTCCATTTGGCTAAATGAATTTCTGGCATTATAGCTGATGTCAGTTTGTGATGAAAACCCCATATATAATTCCTCACTACGGCGAATTACGACAAATATTGCGAACTGGATAATAAAAGCACCAGTAACACTGTCTGCAGCCAGGTACTACAATATATCCGGATGTTTGGAGAGCGTACAGACTCCTACATAGGCTTGGTTATGTGCATCGTGTCGTTATCCACAAGTAGCATTTTGTGTACTCAACAACCGAAGTGCACATAAACAATATGTGGTTGAGGCTGAAAGAGGTTTTGAGATTTTATCATGGCTCCAGAGGCCGACTGTTCTGTAGCCGTATGGATGATTTCCTCTACTGCATGCATCACGATTTTAGAACCACTTTCTAACCTTGATAAGTTTTGAAATGTATCCACTTTATTTCCTTGGTTTTGTATAACATATTTTTACTCTATACTAACTGTTTGCTGATTGGATAATATTTCCCAAAGTCACTTCAGATTCGTCCAGAGGTCCTCCATACATTAGAGTCTCGCCGTGTACCAATCTTTAACAGTAAACTATTTCGATAACTGGTGTTCAGGCTTTTGAATAATCTCGAGTAAATCCATAATTCTACTAGGAGATTTACCTTCACTAAATATTCAGTTAACGGGATACTAGCAATTGCTGTCAGATTTAGGGGAAATTTGCCTCTACAAGCCTAACTATAACACTACTTTCCCACTTTATGAACCTGTCGCTATTCACTTGTAGTGTCAGGTATTATGCCAAGCCCATATACCTTATTCTAGCTTCCGGACATCCCATTCTATTCATTTTACTTGAGCCATACATTGACCTCGTTATTTATTCGCTTATCAATCTAGACTGTTTTTATATGAGCGTATATGTGTGTGCCCTTCTTATTCCATTAATCACATGTCTGTAGCTTTATTTTGTCTGACTATAAATATTGAGTAACGCTTGACAAAGATGGAGTTGGCTTCCCCGCCATTCTCCCTGTGCGTCATTTTGCTTGGCTCTGTTTCATTCACTCCATATACAAAATACATGTATTCACAAATCAATTCTCGTTATTCGACTTATTTAATTCCGTTATTGGATAACGCGATTTAAGTCGACGATGATATACGAGAATAGGCGATAGCAAACATCCATACGATCTAAATGGGAGTCGAGACGCACGGGCCCCTAAACTCTCGCCAGTTTTCGTTTGTAAAATATTCATATGGTCAGTATATGAAGGATCGCGAGACTTACTTTTTATCATTCCTTCTCAACTTTGATCAAAAGCGCTTCTGATTCCTTTCACATATTATCATTATTTTTAAGCTTCTTGTCGACATCAGTTCCCTTAAAATTATACATACGTCTTGCTGACCAATCCAAACAATGAGAAAAAAGCCAGCCGTACAAATCAACACTTACCGGATAACTCTAAGCAATCGATACGCAGAAACACAGTACACACAGCATAAGTCAGTAAAGACAAATGGCTAGATTTAAACTTGATCGATCATTACTTGAAAACTAGATATATATTATGACCTTGGTTACTACACAAAGCACAGATAGTCCCTAAAATATTCTGCTACATTTAGAATTCTACAAACCAGTTTTCTTTTATTCATAAGATAATTTCATCGTATCACATTTATATATGTGAAACATCCATTCATACTGGAGATCTTTTCCATCACCAAGTGACTTGTTTACTACCAGTGAAAAATACTTAGTTCAGTGTAATAAATTACTTGTGCCTTCATTGTTTTAACACAATTGTAATTGTACGCTTAGCTAGTGAAATGATTGAAACATCATCAAATAAGAGAATGAGTCTTTTCATAATCTTTTTATAGAAACAAGAACTATGATAAACAGAATACAATATTAAATGTTATTTACATGTTTGTAAATATCATAGTATGTTCATTTGATAATAAGTAAATAAGTAGTATCTTTAGATGTATGATTTTAGTTAAACTTTATTTTCTCCATTAAAACGATTTTCCTCTACTGCCTTCCTCATACTCTTTCAAATAATTCAATCCAATAAAGTTGACGATGCTTAGGTAGTGTATCAGCATTTTAACATTCAATAGATGCTTTGAAAATAGCTTCATTAAATGTTGTTGCACTAGTTATGTCGGCATAATCATTATTATCATCATCATTATGAATTAAATGAACTAATGAATCATGTAGACCAACATGTAAATTTGTATTCAATTCGATGGATTTCTTTGGTTGTAACCATTGTTTATTAGTTTGTTTATAAAATCGTAGTAAATTTAGAATATCAGTTTTATTACCGATTGTTTGCATAGATGACGATGATGATGATGTTGGTTTGACATTTGTCATTTGAGGTAATAATTTACATAAACGTACAAATTGTTGAGTAAATTCACTATCCCGATTATCTTTATTGTATAAATAGCTGGAATGAAGAAATCAGATAGTTAAAGAATAAAAAAATAATAAAACTGAGTTAGGTTATTATCACTTATTTATGTAACTCTCTTTTGATAAAATTCAATCCTTTACAGTAATTAGATTATAAAGTTAAACGTTGAGTGGTGACATGTGTTATAATGAGTCACAGTGGAACAGTCCCATATTGGTGGGTGTAGACTACCTGGTTGGGAACCGCGAGATGTTAGCAACTGATGGCTAGAGATCCTGAATGACATGGCTCAACATCGTTTGCAATCGCACAGGTGCATCCACTCTTTATGTTCTCCCAAATTCTAATCTTCTGAATTCTTCATGCTACTTTCACTTTTCTCTTTCCAAATTTGTCTCACTGTATTATACTCCTTGAATAACATCTTCAAACCCTAATGTTTCCGATTACTGCTTGTACTTTTACTAACTTTAGCACTAGGGGATTTGAATTGACAACTGCATCTCTGTGCTAATGTGGTGTGGCAGCTCGAACTGATGTACGTACGTACGAAGTTCTACATTGTGACTGACTGACTGTGGCACAGATTCATTCCTTTTCTTATCGTGCGCTATAAAGTAAAGATTGTGCACCTGTATTTTCGAATAATATCCGGATTGTTTAATCTTTCTTAGAATGGTAGCTGCTATATTATTTTAATTCCTTTGCAATTAAACGTTAATATGTGAGAACTTAGATAAACGTATATACATTCTTCGATTCTACATTGATTATGACTGGCTGTCTAAAGATATATTCAAAACTGTTCGTTATTTATTCCAACTCGGATTACGTATGTGATATGACAATCCAATGGATATAAAGATAGATGTTCAAAGAAGCACAGCGTCTAATTACACGATTGAGATACACGTGCAGAAATGGTAAAGCGTAAATGCTAATCAGTCAGTCAGCTACAACGTAAGACCAGGCACATATATGCATCGTTTAAAGTTGCCATACCTAATCAGCACAGCAAGATGAACACCGGACTCATAGAAGTAGTTAATTCAGTGATAGTAATATGTAAAAGACTGAGTGCGTATAATGACATAGTACGCGAGGAAAGAATTAGTTCATAGAAAGAAAGATATGAAGCGATTTTAATCTCATAGTTTAAGGAAAGACAAAGAATGTATACAACGACG